TCCTTGGTCTTATACAGAGATACTGAGAGCCCTCAGAAGGACTCAGCAATCCTAATGGCAGTGCCCTGGAAAAAAGGAGATGATGAAGACCTGCCCCCAAAGCATGCCCCTCAACCCTGCAGCACAGAGCTCTGGGTATTGATTCCCACTTTTCCTCACTGAGGTTGAAAACAACTCTTGCTATGATTTCAATTTTCAGAAATTCATTGAGACATGTGGTCTATCATATAACCTCTCCTGGAGACTGTTCAATTCTAAAAACAGAACTTTCATAAATGCACGCACATCACACCACACCCCCCCACACACACAGGCACACACCACTCACAAGCGTTTTTAAATGGCATTTGCATATGATAGCAGTGGGTCACCCAGCCTGTTTTGAAGAATTTGGCAACACACCCAGGTTCTGGGAAGCAACCAACCGTTGCTGTTACTATGCCTCATGAGGATTGTCTGTGGTAGAGAAACTTCCCATGAATAAATATTTCAGTCATGGCTGAGCAAGAAATTCCAGTAAGGCAAGGCCCACTATGTATTCCTGAGAAGCGCACTTCATGGCCCATGTAGTAGTCACACGGAAGGACAGTCAGAGGATCTTCAGTGAGAACAGGAGTTTGCACATACGATATAAAGAGCAGCTATGACATTCAGAGAACACAGTAAAGCAAGGCACGTTTCCACAGAGGTTGATAAACACTGAATGGAGCCCAGAGACGAGGAAAGATGTGTTGAGGCAGGAGTGAATGCTCAGGTAGAGTGTGACTATAAAACACACAGCTGTTTTTCTCCCCACCTCCCAACCCGTGTGCCAAAGGTTAGGAACTGGGTAATATTTGGTGACATGGGAAAAAAGGCCTGAAAGGGAATGAATTTGTATTTTCATTAAAATAAGTTGAAAGCAGAGAGTAGGAGAAAACTGGTATCCATTTTTCTTCATTTCCCAGATGTTTCCTGGTTGACAGTTATATCTTAGTACTCTGATGCACAGTGCATCTTAGACTCTGATCTGCTCTCTCTAGTGGTACAGAGTCTATTCAGGAATGATAATATTCAAGAAATAATGGATTGGGAAGAAGGCCTCAGTAGTGCAGACAGACACACCTCTCCTTTCCTTTCCTTACTGGAAATCAGGAGTAGACTACTGTTCACTGGGGTCTCAGAGTTTCTCAGGCTGCTGGGTGAATTTGAGGCTGGGTGCCTGGATGTGACATCCCCTGAGCAATGCTCCATGGGCAAGTTCTTATCCACCAGCACACTCACCCACCTACGGCCATTGACATTGAGAGTGCTTGAAAGTCAAGCTTACCCTGGGTTTTCATTTGTATAGTGCATGTGTGGTCTGGGGAGTTCGTGGAAGCTGTGGAGTATCCCAAAGCTCTGGGCTTGGACTTGTCCTTTTTCTGTACTTATTTCCTGGCTTGGCAATCACATGGTACCATACACACCTGACTTCTTCACTGATGGACAGGAATTCTGAGTATTCAGCTGGCTGGTTAAGGTCTTTTTTTGCAGATCAAATAAGCGTCTTAAACTTCTGTCTGAACCTGAGCTTTTGCTAGAGAAACCCAAACCATCCAACCCAGTCTTCTGCCTTGCTAAATGGTCACACTGTTCTTCAAAGGGCTTGAGGCAAAATTCTTGTAGCTCTGCAGTTAAATTATCTCACTGACCCCACCACACCCTACGACCTCCACCATCCAAACCCTGTCCTCTATTTTCACCTGGACTCCATCTCTCCTTCCACATCTGCTCCTGCCCCCCTTTCCTTGTGAATTTCTGGGCTCTTTTCTGGGTGCATCAACTCAGTACACCTCTGTGATATTTTTGCAATGCTTCACCGTGGCAGCCCAAGCTATTCAAATATAATGCCTTTTCTTTCTGCTCTGTCCTCCACAAACCCTCAGTCTCACCCCTGGGCTTCCTCCGTGCTCATCCCCTCCCCTCATCCACACCTTCTTCCTTTTGGTTCTGGAATCTTCTGGGCACTCCCCCTCTTCATGGTCCCATCGAGAAACAAGTGGTGCCCTCAGGTTGGGGTAACTCGAGAAGGTTCTGTTACACTGCATGATGCTGTCCCCCAGGGTTTGCAAGTAGGTGATGTCTGTTTCTCCACACACTGGCAGCCTCATGCTGTTGCATGGTTATTCCTGAGTGGTTTCTGAAGAAATGCTCCACTGAGTCTCTGAGATGTTGCAGCTGCCAACTCCCATTCTGCCCATTTTCAAGAACTTGACTGATTTTTGCCAGGAGGAGTCCAGACGACGATGAGGACTCATAGTCCTGCTGCCATGGTCCTCAGGTTAATGGTGGTGGTCCAGTGAAGCCACTACAAACTAGGCAGGGCTCCTCTATGTCCAGAGAGTGCACACTCTAAGGTCCCCAGTGGATAACCCAAAGCAGTGGTAGACTCACCCTCTGTATGCACCGTTTTTTCCTGTATTGTACAAGATTATCCAGTAAGATACTGACAGCCCCAATGGCACAGAGCAAGTGTAGCATTAGACTGAAGTAGGAGCCACTTAAAATGTATTAGATCAGGGGGTAGGGGCCCTCGCTGCCAAGCCTGGCAGCCTGAGCTTGGTCTTGGAGTTCACGTGGCAGAGCCTGTTGACTGACCTCCACATGTGCACCACAGTATTAACGTGTACACACATGTACACAAGCACACACGCATGCACACACACATATTCTCTAAATAAATAAATAATTGTAAAAACATATAAACAAGGTAATTATTTCTGGAATTTTCCCAGTTGTATTGTCAGATAGCGGCTGGCTGAGGAGAACCAAAAGTACGGGCACTGAACCAGCAGAAAGGGGGATTACTGTAGCCACTGGGCTCAGGTGAGGACAGTGACTGCTGAGTGGCAATTGCTACCTGTCTGGTGGATGACAAGAAGGGAGGAGTATTGCTGTTGCTCTTTCTCAGTCCAACAGGTATGAGAGGGCAGATGCTGGGGGCACTCCTGTGATACCCTTGGTGGCCTTTTGTGACTACTCATGGTTTCCATTAGCCTTGCCTGGTGACCTTTACCCTCTGATATCTACTCACAATTACTTTTGATTTTACTTCTTGAGATAATGCCATATATTTAGAAATTTTTGTTTGTTTGTTTGTTTGTCTTTCCAGACAGGGTTTCTCTGTAGCTTTGGAGGCTGTCCTGGAACTCTCTCTGTAGACCAGGCTGGTTTCAAACTCACAGAGATCTGCCTGCCTCTGCCTCCCGAGTGCTGGGAGTAAAGGCATGCGTCACCACCGCCCAGCCTAGAAATGTTTTAAATAGCCTAGTCATAGAGAAATCATTTGATGTGCACACCAGCTCCAGAGCCTTATGCTTTCAGACTGTGACATGAGATTTTCTTCCCACAGTGGCCCATTTGTGTTCCAAGAGAGGGTGGGAAGAGACAGTGACAAGTGCCTGGACCCAGGACTGAAGTTACTCTCAACAGAGTGGCAGACACTTCCTGATGGGCCTCTTCCTTTGCTCCCTGGTGTACACACACACACACACACACACACACACACACACACACACACACACACACACACACGCACGCACGCACGCATGCACACGTGCACGCAGAGTCTCTCCTTGGATTAGCTTTCCCTCTGGTTCTGGCATTCAGTCACACCATGTGGTTGTAAGTAGAGATCAAGTATGAATGGACTGATGTGTTTGCCAAGAGTAGAGAACAGTCTGACAGGAAATGTGAAGAAAACGCTGCCTACGTCTTCAGCATCCAGGCAGGCACTGTTGACCCCGTGTAATTGCTTACTTTACCCAGTTCTTGTCTCTGCTGTGGTTCTAGTTTACCTATAAAACACTATTTGAAAACAACCAGAGATGATGGCAGTGGGAACTCATAGCCGGACTCACAGAATTTCTAGCTCTGGATGAGATCCGGGCAATAGGACAGGGCAGAATGGGCTTTCTATGAATCCTCCTGTGTGTCTCCCTGCTGACTCAGAGTCCTGAAGAATAAAGGGAAGATTAACGCTTCCCTAACTAATGGGCTTGCTGTTAAATTGGGAACAAATTGGTCTTTTTCAGATCATCTAGCCTTTCTCCCTCTGCTCTCAGATTGTCCTCTGATCAAAACACCTTATGACTCAGTGGAACTCTTTTGGCCTGCAATTTGCAATTCTCTTCAGAAGCAAAAATAAAAAAACAAAACAAAAAAACATGGAAACCAAAAAAAAAGTGGAAATTGTATTGAACAATGAGAATGACCATTCCCCCTGGAATATGCTAACTTTTCCAGGTTGAATTTCAGTGAGAGGAAGGGGCAAGCATGGAGATGGCTTAGGTGATTCATTTAGTTTTTTAATTTATTTTTTAGAAATTTTAAATAGTTGGTTTATTTTACTTTTTGTGTAGCTATTTTGTCTGCATGTAGGCCTATGTGTCATATTTGTGCCCAGTGTCTGCAGAGGTCAGAGCAGGGTGTTGGACCCCTGGAACTGCAGGTACAGATGATTTTGAGCCACCAAGTGGATACTGGACATGAAACCCAGGTCATCTGCAGGGGCTCCCAATCTCTGAGGTATCTCTCTGGCCCTAGCAAGTGATTAACTAAAACCCAGCCCTTTGGGATTGTATTTTTCCTTTTTCTAATCAGCGTTCCTTTTGTTTAGTTTTTCATTTTTAACTTGCATTTTTGCTTTAATGGCTCTGCTTTCATGAATCAAACGAACTGGCTAGTCACTGAGCTCTTGCCACCAAGCCTCAGTATCCCATGCAGAGGAAATCTTCATGGTGTACACAGGCCCCTTGAGGCCAGGGCTTCTGACTCTTGTCAGTCGTCCCTCATTTACGACCCAAGGAACATTTCACAAAACAGGAAATGTGAATTCTTCCTCGATAGGCAGACGACATGGATACAAGGGGAGAAGATGAACAAGAGTTTAGTCCCATCGCTGACCATGGCTGTCCCGAAAAACCTACCCGCAGTTAAAGCTAAATAAAATTCCCTTTCTTGCAATTCATCTTTTTCAGACAATCAGGCCAATGGCTTTCTCTGCGGTCCTTCATCCAGCCTTCCTCTTGGTAGTGCTGCCCCTGAAGGCATCCCTAAGTGAAGGTAAGAGTCCAAAACAGAAGTAAAGAATGTGTAAAGATGAGCCAACTGGTGCTTTGGAGAAACATGAAGCAATTTCTTTTCCCTGGAAGTTGGTGATTAACTCCCATGAGATGTGGTAAATCTCTGGAAGCCACAGTTGCCTTGGGCATGGCCTCCCTCGTCCTGATGGCACCATTAGTAAGCCCACTCCTTAGCCTTGGTTTTCTGCTCAGTGCTCTGCTAACTTGTGTGGTTGTAAGTGGATCTAAGACCGCAGCGTTTCAGGCTTGCTCTCTGTTATATAGACCATTGCCAAGGTATTTCCTTCCAAACCCTGCTGAGCAAAATGGAGCAGCCCAGACTAGTTCTGGTGCCTGGGTTAGAACAAGTTCTAATGCCCCTTAACCACACTTGCTGAGAGCTGTTTGGCTTATAAAATATGGCTGAAAGCAACTGTGGTCTGGGAAGCACTAGAAACTCTCTCAAGTATGTACAAGGTAATCTGAAGTGCTGAAATCTGTTTACAGCATTGGGGAAATGTTTGTCAATTAGCTGTCCCTAAAAGACCATGGTTTGGAATAAATCAACTTCGTAAATGCACATGCACGTGACTACTTTATCAAATGTGTGTGGATACTTTATTTCATTCAACTTATTGAAACACAGATTCTTAGACTTGTAAGCGTTTCTCTTGGTGAATAAATTTATCCCGCATTTGTCCATATTGTATAAAACTACATTTTTTCTTCCTGTATTTATTCTTTGCTGTGTTTTCTTTTTAACAAAGAGTTCCATGTGTGGATTTGCGAAATTGACACTTGCAAAGAATATGCAAAGAATTCCTCACTTGTCTCTTAGAACTGCAAGAAAAGTTATGTGGGAAAAGGGGAGATTTAGTTCTGCTAATAGCTCGAGTTCTGCCTTCCATCCTTTAGGTCTAGGTTTGGTTTTGGCATGGGGAATATACTATTTCTTCTGGCTTCTTAAGCACCAGTTAATTGAGCTCTTCCATAAGCTGGGGCTGCCAGGGGCCAGGGCTCTCTCACTGGTCTGTCTTGCTGCTGAAGTCAAGTACACTGCAACTAATTAGGGAGGCTGAGCATGAAGAATGTTCTGGCTTAGATCAGAGCCCCTGGTTCAGAGACAGCCTAATGCACCAAGTCCTTGTGGAGAGGCACTCCCGAGCGAGCAAGCATTCACTATGCTTTTGCCAGTTTGTTCCCCTATCAGAGTCCCATGATGTGACCTGACTGGTCATGGCATGTCTTCCGCATGTGAAACCTACTGCCCTCAGGTCAGTCTTTGCAGTTTAGTTTCTATTGTTTAGATCAAACATGTTTCCCTAATTTCCTGGCAACCTAACTTCCGTTTCTGTTTCCAACTTTCTTTACAAAGCAAGGTTTCCTTGGTAGATCTTGTCTTCATCAGAACTGTAGGAACTTTTTTTTTCAATGTCTGCTGCCTGGTATACCTCCACTCACAATAGTGAGCTCACCACTTAATCAACTAACCAGGCTCAATTCAGAGACTGCAAATAATCCGACCTAACCTCTTCCAAGCACTATTGCTTCACTTGGCCCCGTGCACGTTTCCATCAGCCAGAGGAGTTGACTGCAGCATCCTGCTGTACTTTTTTTCTGTCTTTTGTGTACATATATAAAAGTTGTAAATATGTGGAGATTAGTTATTTTACATTCATTTAGAGGTGTCTGTGTGTGTGTGTGTGTATGTGTGTGTGTGTGTGTGTGTGTGCATGTAGATCGGAAGACAGTTGTGTGGGTGTGTCTCTCCCTCCATCATGTAAGTTCCAGGGATGGAACTCAGGTTATCAGGCTTGGCCGCAAGCACCTTTACACACAGAGCTGCTTTGCTCTCGTATATATTCTAATGAAGACTAAATCATGCTGTGTAGAGACAAATATATATATATATATATAGAGAGAGAGAGAGAGAGAGAGAGAGAGAGAGAATAATCTGCCTCCAGGGGATTATTTTTTAATTTAAACCATTAAGTAGAATGAATGTTTCCTTTTGATGTCAAATGTTTTTGGAATCACATTGTTTTAAGTACTATTACATGGTATCCCACTCTGGGAATTAGCCACACATTATTTCCTCCAGCAGTATTGGGTTGGTCAGAGAAACTGTGGGGAAAGTGGGACGGTCTGTGACTAAGCCTAGGATGGAGTCCCCAGTTGGCTTGGTCATACTCCAGTGTCGTGGCATGAGAGCTGGCCTGGGAGCCAGAAGCCCTGGGTCTGGTCTGGTGTGAGCCTAGGCACAGTCATCCATCTACACATTAATCTCAACTAGCTTCTCGGAAAAGTTGGCAGGATGGCATTTATTCATCTCCATGGTCCTTTTGACCTCTCTGGCTTCAGTGGGGAGGAGTTTTAGTTCTTTTCCCCACCACGATACTTCTAATGGATGTTACTCAAGTACCCGAGTCATCCCACACTTGCTGATAATTTCAGGAGCTTCCCCTTTGTTGAAACAACATAGGACAACTGGGTAGAGCTTCCAGAAATAAGGTTAGACAGGGAGTTGACTCATTCATGTGTCAATTGTAGAACTGTGTGTTGCTAATCTTGATTTCCCTGTGCTAAGTAAGACTTAGTCACACTCTTGTTTCTGTTACAACCCTCGGCAGAAAGGCAGCCTATACAACCTGTTGTGATCATGGGTGAGAAAAGCCAGGGGTCAGGCAGACACAGAGAGAGAGCATGGGGAGTATGCTCTCAGGTTACTATACTTGAAGAAAGCAACTGAAGGAAGAGTTTGTTTTGTCTCACAGCTTGAGGCACAGTATAGGCATAGAGGGAAGGAAGGCATAGAGGCAGGACTGTGAGGTAGCTGGTCACATTGCATCAGTAGCCATGGGAGACTGGCTCAGTTTCCAGTACCAGGTGTGATTTCCCTCCTTTTGAGTGGTCCTGACATCTCATCAGGTGTTGATTTCCACTAGTGTGTTAGTTAGACCCCCACCTCTTAATCGTTCTACCATCTTTGACCATCCCCACACTAGAGCCAAGTTTCCAAGAATCTCTGTTGGACACTCAAACCATACACAAACCACAACGTGGAAAAATTTAAGTCAGAACATGTGATTTAAGTTTGACACGTTAGTGAGAGTGAGAGATGACAGGATTCTAGAAGCTCAGCTTATTTTTGTTTTTTATTGTAACCATGTATCTTGAAAGTTTCTATTGAGGTAACAGTCCCATAACATAAAATTAAGTATCTTTATGGTTACAGTGAGTCAATCATCAGTGACACTTAATATTTCATAATATTACTGTAACCATCCTGTGGGAGCAAAGTTACTCTAAATTTGTGCCCCTCCCTTTACCTGTCAGATTATTTGTTCCTCAAGGAATTGGAATTTCCCTGGGAGTCACAGGGGAGAAGAAAGGAAATGCTGAAGCCCAGTGTCTGCCAGAGGAGGAGCTTGTTTCCCAAGAAGAGATTTCCCAGTTCTAGCAACTGTTAGAACACCTTGCAGAGAGACTGGTGTACCAGGATTTTGCCTCTGGGCCACCAACCAGCTCCCAAATCATGACAGAGATTTAATATTAGTGATGAATGCTTGACCTAGCTGAGGCTCGTTTCTGGCTAGCTGTTTTTCTTTAACTTAAATCACCTGTTTCCCTTTCTCTACCTTTTGTCTCAAGACTTTTTACCTTTACTTCTTTCTCTATATTTTACTGTCACTGTTTCTCGTATCTGGCTGGCTGGCAGCTACCTGGCTTCTTGCTCCTTACCCCGGGCATGTCCCTTTCTTTCTCTCTCCTCTTCTTTTCGTTCTTCTCTTGAGCCAAGATTCCTCCTTCTACTTATTCTCTCTGCCTTCTAACCCTGCCTATCCCTCTCCTGCCTAGCTACTGGCCATCCAGCTGTTTATTAGAGCAATCAGGTGCCTTAGGCAGGCAAGGTGAAACAAATGCAACACATCTTTACATAATTCAAGTGATATTCCCCAACAGACTGGAGCTGAGGCAGTGATGGACAAGACCACACTTGACTGGGATGTCTTAATTATGATGATACATGCTTCCTGCCTTCTGTTTAAACCTGTGCCTCATTTCAGGATAGAGTCCCTGGGCCTCTTTGTTCCTCTTCCCAATATAGACAAACTAAATAAACATGCTTTCTCTGCTATGTGCTATTATTTGTGTATTTATTTGGCCTACTGGGGCTGAATGGTTCTTCATGCTGCTAGGGCCCAGATATTCTAACAACTCCAGAAACACAACCTCTGGCTGCTGGAAACATTGGCATCTATCACGCAATAGCTCCTGATTCTTCACTCCCCCATGCCAGACCACTGACTGTTTCTATGACTTTACCTATTCTGGATATTTTGAGTAAGGGAAACCATATAATACGTAACTCTGTGTCTGGATTCTTTTACTTATTACAATGCTTTTGAGTTCCATCCAATGTGTCACATGGATCAGAGCTCTATTCCTTTTCACTACTGAATTATATGTCATTTGCATGCAGAAATCACAGCCTTCAATGTGAATGTCATCCACTGATGACATGGGACTTATTTCCACCCTTTGGTGACTGTAATAGTGCTATTCCAAACATTCATGGGCAGACACTTATTTGAATCCCTGGTTTCATCTGGGACGTAGGTGGGATATAGACTTAGGAGTGAAATTGTGGATCACACTATAATTCAATAGTAAGTTTCTGAAAAATCACCACAATGTTTTCCACAATGATGGGCCATTTTACATTCCACCTGCAGTGTACAGGAACTGCAAATTTCTCCATACCCTCATCCACATGTGTTATTTCCATGCTGTTAATTATTTCTCCATACCCTCATCCACATGTGTTATTTCCATGCTGTTAATGAGTACAGAAGCCTTCCTTGAGAGTGTGAGGTGATATCTCATTTGAGATGCCATCCTGGGTTTGATCTTCCTTTCTTAGTGACTGATAATGAGCATCTCTTCATGTTGCTTTTTGGCCATTTGTTTATTTTATTTGGAGAAATGTCTTCCATGTCCTCTGTCCATTTTTAAACTGAGTGTGTTGCTTTTCTGCTGTGAATTTGTAAGAGTTCTTTATTTAGTGGGAACACTAGAAACTTATCTAACACATGACTTACAAGTATTTCTCCCATTTTCAGTCTTATTTTCTTTATAACACTCTTCAATAGGCAAACTTTAATGTTGATGAAGTTCAGTGTATCTGCTTTTCCTATGTTACTTGTGCATTTCATTTTATATGGAAGGACCCACTGCCAAATCCAAAGTTGAGGTGCCCACACTGAGAATGTCCATCCTTCCCACACTGTATTTGGGAAAATGTCCCACAGGAAGGGGAACCTATAAATAGCTGTCTTTCATGTTATGGGTGTTCTTATTAATGTTACTTCCAAGGAACCTATATCTGCAACCTTCTGTCATATGTGGGCAATACCTTGTCTGGATGTGAAGTCCTCCACTGTGGAAAAGTCACACGAAAGCACTTTATTCCTATCTCCACTTCTGTGGCTCCATCCGGGATCTCATTCTGTCGGCAGTGTCCTGGATGCTGCTGAGGCCATGAAGCATACTTCTCTGGCATTGCATCCCATGAGACCGTGGATCAGACAAGGGACCAGTTGTGAAACAGTGCAGCAAAGGGGAGCACCTGTTTGATATCAGGGAGATCACTATTTAAGTTTTACAGAGCTTTTGTAAGTTACTTAATCCCATGGGGGTTCTATTTTCTTATCTATTATAAAAATTGTCTTATGGTTTTACAGTGTTACCTGACACATCAAAAGCAAAGCAGCTGCTACCATGCCTAGTAAATAACACATGCTCAGGATTGTTACTGATACCCTCCATGAGAAAAATAGCACATGTGCACTGGTGATTTGGGGACCCTCCTTCTTGTTTTGCAGACTGCTAGCATTTTTATTAGGAAGATACTCCCTTGCCTTTGTGGAGGGGAGAGGCTGCAAGGGAACTGAACTGTTGGCTTTATTCATGCTGTGTGTGTGTTTAGTTACCAAGTCACTCCTCCCGTAGATACTTTCTTGCCTTTTAAATATGGTACAGGAAACTTTCAGATCACTAATAGCTAAAAGACTGGGAAAATGTATGCCAAGAAGCACGTGTCTCTTATACATGGGTCAGCATACGCCAGCTGATTTTAGAAAGGGAGTCTTTATCTTTCCAAAACCTTTATAACATCCCCAGTTTACTTCAGACCCTCCTCAGTCCAACAGCTGGAATAGTTGAATTTGCAACGCATAATCCCTTTCTGTTCTCTGTGGTGTTTCCCTCTCTTAAGCGGAAGTCAGTCTCTGGAATTGGCAGTAACCCAAGTGGATTCAGGCTCACACTCTCTCTTGTAGCTGATGCCTGTGTATGTGTGCTATGGCTGTGATGCTATTTAGGGTTTAAAGACAGTTGGAGAGACACTGGGCACTTCTGAAGGTCAATGACCTGTACAAATCTGTTCATGTTTGAACTCCTGTTCTTTTAGAGTCATTACACTGTACACTGTTCTAAGCTTGCAATCTCACCGATTTCTGTGATTTTGTTGTGTCTCTCCAATTAGGCTCTTCCTCTGATTGGGGAACCTTGTCAAAAGTGTTTGTTTCACATTAAGTGCCTATAATTATTGCTGCCTCACCCAAAGAGTTCACCAAATTCTTACTGGAGGTGTGCAGCTCAGCACGTTGAAATACATGGAACCATGTCTCTATACATTATACATGGAACCATGTCTCTACACATTATACATGGACCCATATCTCCATACATTATACATGCAACCATGTCTCTATACATTATACATGCAACCATGTCTCTATGCATTATACATGCAACCATGTCTCTATACATTATACATGCAACCATGTCTCTATACATTATACATGGAACCATGTCTCTACACATTATACATGGAACCATGTCTCTATACATTATACATGGAATCATGACTCTACACATTATACATGGAACCATGTCTCTACACATTATACATGGAACCATGTCGCTATATATTATACATGGAACCATGTCTCTATATATTATACGCTTCCACTTTCAAGCCTTCTAATAAGCCATGGAACCCTGAATTTACAAAAAAAACTGATTTTTAGTTTTAGATTTTAGAGTATGAGATTTTTAAGGGAAAAATCTCTTTGTCTCCATTATGAATTAAAATCCATTAGATTACCCAGGAAAGAAACATTTGTGTAGGTGTTTACCAGCTTATTAATACACTGTGCATTGCTGAGCAAGTTTTCTGCTTCACTGTGGTGTTAATTTCTTCCTCTGCTGATGTAACTTCTAACTGCTTCTCGGTATCTGATGCTAGGAGGTGTACGTAAGCGTACTCTCCAAAGCTCACCAGTGAGCACATTGAATGGTGTCTCTCTTAGATGTGTGCCTATTTAACCATGCCTCCATTGAGAGTTATTTTCTACCTGTTTTTGGCCTTTCAGTCTTGGGCGAGCCTTTCCAGTTGATTCCTGAGATTCTTACTGTTTCTATTCAGTCTAAACTTCAGCAAGTGAATTTACAGTGGACTGTTCCAAACCTTACTCATCAAGAATTAAAAATGGGATTTCAGATAGAGATTAGTAGAATGAATGCATCCAACATCATCTGGGTGGTAAGTATTTTTTTACTTAATATTTTAAAAATTATTTTCCCAGGCCATGATTTGTCTTTTATACCATTCAAAAAAATCTTATTTTTCCAGAACATTCCCCTCTCAGTACAAGTTTCCTAAAGAATTGCATCCCTGTATTTTAGTTAAGACAGTCGTTCTCAACCTTCCTAATGCTGTGACCCTTTAATACAGTTCCTCATGTCGTGATAAGCCCAACCCATACATTTATTTTCTTACTACTTCATGACTGTAATTTTGCTACTGTTGTGAACTATAATAGATATCTGTGTTTTCTGATGGTCTTAGGTGACTCCTGTGAAAGGGTCATTCGACCCCTAGGTTGAGAACTGCTGAGTTAAAACAAAGTAATATGGTCCATTGGGTTTGATGGATTTATTAAAAACAATAGATTCTCTCTGTTGTACTGTTTGCCCCAAGACATTCACTGGGCCTGTCCCTGTAAATACTGGATCTATGTATCCCCTACAGATCAATTATCTTGCTCTTTTCTCCTCTCTTCTTCTCTGTCCACTTAGGATCACCCAGAGCTGGGTTGTCCTGAGTATGATATAATGACTTACTCAAACTTTTCTCACAGTGAGGATTCTTGGGATTCCTTTTACTTGCCCTGTGCTGAGGGCACAAAGGAGTAAATCCCAGCACTTACTATCTGGCCAACACAGAGGTTCCCATGGACTGCATTGGACAATAACTTAGTGCCCTCTGTTTCCTGGAATGTGGATTTGCTAATACATAAATTCATTGATTAAATCTTTCTTGAGAGGTGGAGGCTGGGTGATCAGAAGTTCAAGACACCATATGCTACAGAATAAGTTCAAGGTCAACTTGGACTTCATAAGCCTTTGCATTAAACCAAATGAAAGAAAACCTTCAACTTTTTTTCTGTTTTGAATTATTTGGGATAGACACAATGGATGTGTCTGACACAGTCTCATCTAAGGGCACATTGGTCACAGACATTAGATATTATTATGTGATGCTTCAGGACAGTTTATCAAGGCAAGTTAGAAATATTCTGGAGATAAAGGACACAGAGGAGTGATCTGAGGACCCATCAGCCCTATTGAGGTCCCTCTCCTCTTGGCAGCAAATGCTTGGCATTTAGTAATCAAGAATGTCTGTCCTTCTAGTTAAGCTTGTCACTAATGTTAAAGTCTTCAGTTCTTTTCCATATCCGTCACCAAATATGAAGTCTGAGCAAATGACTCAAGATAAATAAAATCCAGCTCAGTCCACCACTTATAGCAGGTCTGTTGCTTGGCTGTCTTTCCGAGGGCAGTTTCCCACAGTGGTAGCTGTTGAACGTGTGATGTCACCTTAGTAATGCATGTGTGTAATAGTTAGCTGTGCACTTCCCACCATCAGTGTAGCTTCTCATCATCCCACCTTCTGCTAAGAAACCTGATTGCTGCGATTTTGACAGGTATTGGTTGGTGGTTTGGGCCTAAAGAAACATTCAACAAAGGTCCCATTGGACAAAGAATGGTCCCAAAACAGAAGGTGGGGAGAAGTGCGGAGGGGAATTTTGGAACATTAACATTTATCACCATAACAAAACAGCAATAGAACAAGGGAATATTATTTCGTATATCTCTAAAAGACCATACTTATCAGTTCTCACGTCAGGAAAAGCAAGTAGTGTTAGTCATGGAACAAGTGGACCCCATTCTTTGTTTTCTAAATCTGGTTCCCTATTAGATTCACGGAATATAGTCTCTTTGAATGGGAAAGCAGAATGTGGAAATTATTTTTGTGTTTATGAGGGGTTAAAATTCCCAAGGGTGGACTATTACACCATCCAATTATGTCATTTAACTCAAAACATGCAGCTCCAGCCTCAGTACAGCAGTGAGGACAACCACCACACAGATAATTGTTAGCAGTTCCGTCAAAGAGAGGCAGGGAAATAACCTCATTCGTCACCTCCGTGGTCAGACAGGGAAGATGGTCACATGCTGACTCTTCTTGTACCTGGACTTGAGCAGAGACATGAGATCTTCTTCCATTAAGAGTGGGAACATACTTCCTTCTGGAAATTCTTCTTTGCTTGGGCAGTTCCTTGTAGTGCAAGCAAGGAACCCCATTGCCACTTATGCTGAGGGAGACAGATTACAATCCCATTATTCATTGTGACTCCAACAAGCCAGATGAAACCCACACTGGCCTAGATGCTCATAGCTGGGATAGGACACTTCCCTGACAGTGCTAGCCATACAGAGCCCTGCTGACAGCCACACTGTATGGTGCTGCCCCAGGTCAAACTTTGCTCTTTTCTCTAGGACATTATCTGTATTCTTTTGTCAACAGCAAGAGAAAGCAGAATAGCGGCTCAAGCTTGGAAAGATGCCAGGGATGTGAATCATCTAGGGATAGGATTCATGCTTCAGCAATGAGTCATTGACCTCAGATATATTTCTATGCCTGTGTATATGCCAATTTCTGTGACCTACTAGTGTCTGCAAGGGCTATATTCAGATCGCCACTTCAATGACAAAAAAAGTCAAATTCATCACTTTTTTTTAAATCAGTAATTTGATTAGCATAGTCAAAATTTATCTTCTTCATTGACAAAACTATGAAGACTGCAGTGCATAAACTTGAGGTTAGATAGAATCCACAGTGTCTAGGGAAACGTGACTAAATTAGTTAGTTCACAAGGTTGGACTGTGGGCCTACCTCAGGCATTGTGTGAGCATTTAAAAGCTGAGCACACAAATGGGATGTGTGGGATGTAAGGGCCCCTTGTGAATGCTGGGGCTACAGGCCTAATTTTCTGCCACAATTTGAATGAAAGAATCTTTGAGCCAAGATATGAAAGGGGAATTGGAGTGAATTTAGCATGGAAGATGGGAACAAGATCCCTGAGGAAACCCAATGGGAGCTATCAGAGGCCTTGAGAAAAAGGCGTGGGGTGGCTACCAGATTTGAAGGCAGGCTACCATGCGTGAGCTAGGAGCACATGGAAACAGGTTGGGGCAAGGAAGTGCAGGGCAAGACCACCCAAGGCCGTGGGAAAACAATCAAATGTGTTTACCTGGAGAGCAGTAAGAAGGGGCGTGGCAAGATGTGAGAGTTGGCTGTAGGAGACTGCCAGGGCAGAAATGGGTGGATCTAGGGAGATACACAAGGGAACCCCAATTCTGGCCGGCTGACAGAGTAGCAATTCACTATCGTCTAGTTTAGTTTTCTGTCTTCTGTAGTTGTCTAGTGTTTGCTTTATGTTTAACAATATCCAAAACTAATTCTTAAGGCTATTCATTAAGTAATGAAAGTTTCATGAATATGAAACAGGCAGGCAGAAATATGTTTTATGAACCAAGAATAAAGCAAAATAATAAGCTGATATGAAATATTAACACTTTCAAAATTCTGTTCTGTAGAGAGTAGAAAGGAGGCACAAAATTAAAATTACCTGGGTGAACCACAGTGTTCTTGTTCCACAGCTGTGTGAATCTGTTATCGCCATGATTTAAGAGTGGTGATCTGAACAGGACAGGGATGTAAGAATTGTTGTCTACAAGGGTGACATGTCACTCCTGGGCTCCATATACTGAGTACAGACTCGCATTAGCTTCCCCAGGAAATTCAAGGTGCTGTAAGGAATGTGTCTTCCCTAGGGTTTCTATTGCTGTGATGGAATACTGTGACCAAAAGCAAATTAGGGAGGAAAGGGTTTTTTTTTTCTTGTTTGTGTTTGTTTTTGGTTGCTACCCTTCCATGTAATAGTTAACATTCATCATCAAAGGAATCCAGGACAGGAACTCATGCATGGTAGGAACCTGGAGGCAGGAACTGATGCAGAGGCCATGGAGGAGTGCAGCTTACTGACTTGCTCAACTTTATTTTGTATTGAACCCAGGACCACCAGATCAGGGATGGTACCACCCACAGTGAGCTGGGCCCTAAGAAAATGTCCCACAGGCTTGCCTACAGCCTGATCCTATGGAGTAATTTTCTCAGTTGAGGTTCTCTTTTTTCTGATGACTCTAGCCTGTGTCAAGTTGACTTAGAACTATCCAGCACAGACTTGGGGAGAGGGCAGGGGTTCTGGAGGGACACACTAAAGAAAATGTGTCGCGTCTGCTGCGCAGCCTGTGTCCGAGACCGTGCGGAGGGTGTCGGGGACTGACAACACAGAGACTTGTTCAACGATGTAATGAAAACTTTAAACAGGCCCCAAAAAGGTTCAAGAAAACTTCCTAAGAAAGGCTCCCACCAGAGAAGCTTCTGTTCTCTCCTCTACCCTGGCTGGTTCTGCCCTGACCCCAAAAACTGATCTGGGAGTGGCAGAAGAGGCAGTTAGTCTTTGGACAAGGTCGAGGTCATGGCGGTTTCTGTGGGCAGGCCTTTTCTAGGAACTTATTGCCCCCAGGCATTGTATTGTTTTTAGTAAACATGTTTTTAGTAAACATTGTCTTACAGCTGCCTACTCCCAGGCAGAAGGGGAAGTGGGTCTCTGCTCAAGGTCTGGTGTTCCCACAAAAATGAGTTCCTAAAGCTATGGGGGACTCAAAGAAGAAGCAAATATGATCTCTGCTCTCTTGGGTCCATACCAGATTCACAGGTAAATTCCAGGAAGGCATTATGGTGTTTGGAGATGGGAAGAATTTAAAAGAAAAAGCAGAAAATTCTCATAGGAAACTGATGTACAGTTCTACAGTAGAGTTCTCAGTAACCATGTGTGAGGCTGTGGCTCACACATCAGGAGAATGTCTGAGGTATCAGGAAATGAAAGACAAGACGTCTGGCCATTTGTGCTAAGAGAATGTGTGTGCATGCGTTTATTGCAAGAGAATGCACATGTGTGTCTTTATTGCAAGTGCTAAGAGGTCTATCTCTATTGTAGAGAGGGAGCAGCCTTATATACAGGCTTGCAGCACAGTGGAAAAACCCCAAGTGGAAGAGATCATGTTTTCAAAACTAGATGTTGATGTCAGTGGGGCAAGGCCAGGGCAGTAAGCCAGGACTAGAAAGCAGGATGTGCTTGGACTGGAAAACAGGGTGCACTTGGACTAGAAAACAGGATATACTTGTTGGCTGACCAGCAACTCACAGAGACCCCCATGGGGGCTGGGACCCAACATGAGGCACCAGGTTCCATCTTCAACATTGGGATATTTAAGAAGGCTTCATGAAGGAGATGGAATATGACCTGGGCTTCAATAAATGCAGCTAATTCTTAATGCAGAGGAAAGTGGAGAGCACTAAGCCAACAACGCCTTATGAGCAGATACTGAGATGCCCAATAAGCCATCAGAAATGTTGGTAGACTATTGGATCCAGAGAGAGGATACCTTCAGACTAATGGGAACCAAACTGTAGAAGCCTTGAAAGGTAGAGAAAGATGTCATGGAACCATTGAAGTTGATCAACTTTGAGACTAGAGATGCCAATGTCTTAGATAGATTAAGACCTAGTTCACCTGGAGTAGGTCCTTAAAGAACACTATGAGGAAGGAATGCTGTTTGATTTGTGTCTCTAAGTCCTATGGTTCTGACAGAGGGGACTTTATGGAGGGATGTAGTCCATCTGGCCACCACCTTTGAAAGGACAAGAGAGAAAAACAAGGACCACTTCTGGAGATGTTAGTGTTCCCAGAGTGCCATGGAAGATTTCCCTGTTTGTTCAAATTTAGTTGGTCTAATCTAACCCTGGCTAAAATGAGTTTAAAAATATTGCTTACTTCTAAAAGGACAATTCAGTTAATTAGTTTTCTAGAATTTTCTTAGCATGGTCTAAGTGACCAGCATGGTTGAATATCTGTCTCAGATCTTTGGTTCAAGATTTGAATGACTTTTCTTTTCTCTCACTTGATCTGTATGGGCCACTGGGCAATATGACAGTCATAGGGATCGAGGAGACAGGAGGCCATAGCTGCCATTACAGACATCAGAGCAAGGAAGTGATGGATTAGGAATGGACTTAACTTAGCAGCGTGGTGGAGTCAAAGCAGGGTAGAAGTTTGTCTTTTGGAATAATAATTTTCCAGGATGCAAATATTTCATTCATTTTAGGAGGATTACAGCACCACTGTGAAGCGGAACCAAGTTCTGCATTGGAACTGGAAGTCTGAAATCCCCTTGGAATGTGTAACACATTTCATAAGAATCAGGGCTATGGTAGACGATGCCAATTACCCTCCACAGAATTCTTGGAGCAACTGGAGTTCCTGGAAAGAAGTCAGTGGTAAGAAGTAAAATGGTTACAAGTGAAGCGGTCACAACAATAATCAGATTTAGTGTAACTCAGAGATCAGTAGTCAACTGAAGGATATTCCAGTACCTCTAAAAGCCCCTGAGTTGACACGCATTATTTTCATTTGGTCGCAATAGAACTAAAAAGTGTCTTTGAAATTCCCCATGGAGCTCTAGATGGCTGAAGTTTTATCCCTGAATTAATTTAATTATGTGATTTAATTTTGTGATTCAGATAATTTTGCATTCATTTTCCAAATATGCAAAATATGTTTACTTTAAAGTTGTGTATGCGTTTTTATTAAAACAGCACACACATTCAAATACATGCTTGTGTGTGCACATGCGCACTCGCACACACACACACACACACACACACACACAGTACATGTATTGGGAATGTTTCCATAAAGGACCCAACAGTTTCTTTTGAGACTATGGCACTTAAATCTTCAGAAAGCAGCCTTAGACAATGTGTAAACAAATGTGAGGGCAGCTGTGTATCAATAAAACTTTATTTACTAAACAGATGGCACACTTGACTTGGCTCATTGGTCAGTCCTCAGTTTAGAGGCAGGGAGCAATATGAGGAAAAGGAAAGCAGCCTTTCATTACAGTGACAGAACTGTGGACAAATAACCTTAACTCTCTTTTCGTGTTGATCATTGAACAATGTTGTAGGCAAAATTTAGAGTGGGCCATAGATTCTCATGTTCCACGAGGCTACAGGCCAGATCTACAGCAGTAGCATCTCTACTCCTTGCTAGATAGCCTGACATGTTATATAAATTCTACTAATATAATCATTCCTTTGCCAAGCATCAATGCAAATTTGTTAACTGAAACTAGCAACTTATTAACCCAGGAACAGCTTAATGCATACATTGATAGCATTAAAAATAAGTATACATTCTGCAGTTTCAAACACTAAACATTGGTTTAGCTATCACATTAACCCTAAGAAATAGGCTTTATTTTTATTCCCACTTGACAAATACAGAAAATGAGGTCCAGGGAAAGTAAAGAACCTACATAAACCTTGTATTTCACAACTGTGTCTTACTGCTGGAACACACACACACACACACACACACACACACTGCCTAAAATAGTAAAAAAAAAAAGCCATGCATATTAACACATAATCAGTGCTCACTAGGTGAGTCAGAGGTTAACATAAATGCCTTGTATGAATTGAATGTACTATATAGTGAGTTCAAAGCTGGCCAAGAATATGTAGTGAGATCCCATCTCAGAACAAGCAAACAACAGCAAGAGAAAATGAAATAAATGTGCTATAAACAATTTTGGTAAAATGGACTAGATGTCTTCAAAACTGTGACAGTAAAATTTATAAAAGAATAAATGAAAATCCTGACCCTCAGGGGGATGTTTCTCAATCATGGTTGTTCAGTAGAATCATGTGGAGGAAACCTTCAGAGAAGCTAGGCGCAGGGCACTTGGCATAGGTGAGGTCAGTGACAGCAATATCTAGTGGCCTAATAGGTGACCAGCCAGGCTAAATCAGGCTAAGGACAAAGGTGAGGCAGTGAAGTCTGAGTCTCAATTAGGGGAAAGCTTCTTCTAAAAGGCCACCTAGGGGGAAGGTGGCAGCAGGGAGGAAGTTCCTTCAAAGAGGGAGAGCCCTAAGGATTTTTGATATGTCACAGGTCACAGCAAAGAAAAGACTGGAGTAGGAGATGGAAACTGAGTGAGCAGTATTTCTGGGAAGGGGGAGAAGACGTGACTCAGTGTGATAGAGAGAGGCATGGCTTTGGGGCTGGGCAAATTTTAGCTGTGTTTAAGCCATTCAAGGGGGAGATTGTTTGTTCAGGGGTGTAGTCCATGATGGCATGGGTGGTCCGGTTGGTAGGAGCTCGCAGCAGCTGATTGCATCTCACCCACAATCAGGAGACAGAAATGCTAGTGCTTGGCTCCCATTCTCCATTTCATACAGTCCAGGACCCCAGCCAGGGACTGGCGCCACCTGTTGTTCTTTTGTTTAAGTACGCGCTAGATGGGACACGAACCACAGATAGTGTATTAACTATAGAGTTTATTACAGGGTGGGAGAACGAGGGGGGGCAGAGAAAACAAGAGAGACAAAGAGGATAAGAGAAGAGAGAGAGGAGGAGAGAGTGAAGTGGAAGAGTGAAAAAAAGGGAAGCTTGCATATGCGTACTGAGTCCTTATGCAGCCCAGTAACGAGTGATGTCCCGGGTACATGCCCCACCCGTTGTCAGGGGGCGGGGTCAGCCTGGTGTTTAGTTCCAACACCACCCATAGTGAGAAGGTCTTCTCATCTTGATTAACCCAATAGCAACGTCCAATAACCGGAAGTGATGATAGTGATGCTGTTTTAGATGGAACAGTATGACAAAAGGTGATACGGCGGAAAGGATTGGTTTGGACCCACAAAACGGTCCAGGAATCATGTGAAAGCTTAGGCTGCTATTTTCCCAAGAATATAGAATAAAACTATATTAACTACAGGGAGTGGGAGGGGATTTGTCTTGAAATCTGAGTAAGACTCTAACCAAGGTTTTTTTTTGTCTTACAGTACAAGTTTCAGTTGCACCTAATACATTATTAATATTTCCTAAAAGCAAGCTGTTGGAAGAAGGCTCCAATGTCACCATCTGTTTGCTGTATGGACAGTATCTATATAATGTATCCTGTATGTTGCAAAAAGAGCCAATCCATGGAGAACAACTTGATTCACATGTATCATTAATAAAGTTGAATAATGTTGTTTTCCATAGCCACTCAGGGACAAACATCTATTGTCAAGCCATGAATGCCACTAAAACGCCATTTGGTACTGTTCTCTTTGTCTCAAGTAAGTTCTCAACCTTTCTAACGCTGTGAAACTTTAATACAGTTCTTTATGTTGTGGTGACCCCCCCCCCCCCGCCATAAAAATTATCTCTTTGATACTTCATAACTGTCATTTTGCTTCTGTTATGAATTGTAATGTAAATATCTGACATGCAGGTTATCTGATATGCAACCGCTGTGGGTGTCACAACCCACAGGGTGAGAACCACTGTATTAGGTCTGCTTCCTTCTTATTTCCTATGAAACACCTTGGATCTCATGTACCAGGAGGCACAGAAATATGTTCACATGTGGTTTCAGTTTCCTTCAATTTTACAAGTCTTCCAAAAGAGGTTTTGAAAATAATACCCAGAGCAATACTCCCAGGATTTCCTATTGTTTCCTGTTTTATTGCTAACAGTTTTATTCCTAGAACCAATAGTATTAAAGGAGAGAGGTTTCAGGATATGGTGCACAGAGGTCCAAAGACCTATGTTGACCCTGTCTCTTGGCTATGTCTGTCCTCTTGGTCATTTCCTTGAATGGGTATTATGATGGTAGAGAATCCATGAATATTGGTAGCTTCTAGTCCCAGTGTATTAGTTCAACAACAGTGGTCAATATCATTTTCTCTCTCTCTCTCTCTCTTTTTTTTTGTATAAAGCGGTTGGCTGGTGAGTCAGGCTTCTTATTCTTAACCCATAACTACATAATCTATGTATTTCCATGTGATCTTGGCTTACTGGGAATGCTGGGCCTGCAACTCCTTTGCCTGCTACATCTCTGCAGAGAAGAGAGCGGTTTTCTGATTGTCCCTGCTTACATACTGATTCTGCACAGCTATGTCACTTCCTGAGATCTCATGATGACTCCTCTCTGCCTACACTTCCCTGAATCCTCCTTGCCTCCTAATCCTACCTATCATCCTGCCTGGCCAATCAGCATTTTATTCACTAACGAATAAGAGAAACATATATACAGAAGAACATTCCCTATCATCTCCTCTTTTCTGTCTAAGAAAAAAGAAGGATTTTAACTTTAACATAGTAAAATTATATATGATAAAGCAGTTATCAAGTATGAACAGTATTTAGCTCATTAACATTTGGCAAAATTTATAGGAAATATTTTATCATCTATCCTATCTTTATGAATCTAAAGTCTTATACGTAACTTATCTTTAATCCTAGCTAAGGAAAACTATAACCATAATTATCTGTCTACAACTCCATTAAAGACCACAGAAGGATAGTATATAAACTCTAGAACTGACAGAGACATGTCGATACCTGAACAGTCACCCAAAGTTCTTATGAAATGTTGGGGCATCCATCTTCAGCCCATAGGCCATAATGTGTCTGGCAGACTTCTCAGTGAAGCAGGAAATTTTAAAGTGTCTGCCTGCGTTGGCAGTTTGTCAGTCATTTTTCTCTGTGTCCTGCAGAATGTCTGGCAGATTCTTCCATGAAGCAGGAACCCTTCAGGACTGTTCCATTTTGTTTTACAAATCAACAGTCACTTTCCTGTGGGTCCTATATATCTACTTTATACAGCATACAGTCAGACATTCTAGGCAAGAACAATTTCTTGCCCAAATGGCTAGTCTCATCATATTGAAAGCAAATTCCATAATGAGTTTCTTCTATGCCCATCTTCCTCTCAGACTTAATTGGTGTTACCAGGAGCAGTTGTGTCTCACTGTCATGAAAAACCCTAATAAACCATTTTAAATGCTATATTTTGACTGTCTTTGAAAGGTTTGCAGACTATCCACTCAAATTATCTCTGTATATCTAGAAAACCTAACTATAATAAGTTTTTACTATTATAGGTGACTATATACAATCTGTATTTAATTATGCATTATATTTTAAAAGATCTGTGTAAACACAATGCCTAAACAAGAGAAATATACATATCACAAAATTGACCTTAAATTTGTATCAATAAATGAAAATCCATTCCAATACAAAGTATTCATTTCTATGTCATATTCCCTTTTTTCCTTTTAGAAAGAGATTGGTTGTGACCCATAACCATTTATAACCAACCAAATTTAAATGAAAACAAACACTTGTAAACAATATTTGGTATTTTGGGCATCTTTCTCTCCAAACCACTTCCTGCTGATAAGGGGCGCTATCTTGGGGATTCTAAGAAGACCCAGAACTCCTGGTTCTAGTGGTTGGCAAGGCTGCCTTGTTCCAGCTGTTCTGAATGTTGGATCACCTGGGCCACTGTTTCAGGGAACTTGTTTCATCAAGCCATATTAGTCTGGAAGGAATCCATAGCTTTTAATTTTCTGTGGAATCACAAGTAAAATCTCTTTTCCAAAGTAACATATCCTTATACTTAAAATTTGAAATCAAGGCATTTTTAAAGTATATAAATTGGATTAATCAAGCATATTTTCTTTTAGCAGTTGTTGCTATTTCCCCAGTAGTCAAACAACTCAAGACAACACAATAGCATGTAGTATCCAGACTCTGTGTAATTTCCTTCTTTACATGGTTTTTTTTATTACTCTATTTCTTTTACTTTTATTTTTTCCTGTTTTGAGACAGGAATTCTCTATGTAACTATGGCTGCCCTTGAACTCACTCTGTACACCAGGTAGCTTTGAAATCACAGAGATCTGCTTGACTCTGCCTCCCAAGTGCTAGGATTAAAGGTGTGTGACACCACACCCAGATATTCTATTTCTTATTTTCCTTTTTCTTTTCTCTACCAAGCCTACACATATTTTTAAACACACTGTAAAATTTTCTGAGGTTTTTCTTCATCTGAATCTGTCTTTACTGTAAATCTTTTTCTTTTTCTAGCCATGAGTCTTCTACCTGCTAAACATCATTGTTAAATTTAAAGCGCAGCTGTTTTAATCATTGCCATTAACCATAACCATTTAACAAGATGGTGGGGGTATGTTTACTGCCAGCACTGGGAGCTGTGTTCACTGCCTTGGTCTATGCTGCCATCAAGCAGCATGCTGTTGGCTTTGAGCTGTCATTGCCAGCTTCTCATACACATCATTCAATTGTTATCAGGGCCTCTAAAAATAGCTGTGCAGTTTTTCCATTTATGCCGAGTCAGGAAGACTCCCTTAAGGAAGCCACGCAAGTTTCTGCTTGTCTCTATCAAAACAGAGCCCACCAAAGAAAATGCTGCTACTAAGAAGCCATGCTTGACTTTGTTCATTTCTAAAATCCCTTTTTAAGGTTTTGTCAAATTGAAATTTGTGCCTCACGTTGAGGGTGCCATTTTATAATGTGAGTTTTCTTGCCTGGCTGGTCCCATTGCTAGTCTCTGCCCCAAAGAAACACATGGACGCTATATTACTATAAATCTGTTGGCTGGCAATTTGAGTTAACCCATAACTACTAATCTATGTATTATCTTTCATCTTTTTCTTTGTATGGACAGAGGTACTTGAGGAACCCAAGAATTTTTCTTGTGAAACCCAAGACTTTAAGACTTTGAAATGTTCGTGGGAACCCGGGGTAGATACTGCTTTGACCTGGTCTCAACAAGATTCTCAAAACTACACTTTATATGAATCGTGAGTCTACTCTGGTTACATCATCTGCAGGGTCTTCCTTGTTTAATCATGACAGGACAAGCAATTCTCCCTTAGCGAATCGCCCACCCTTAGAGAAGACACACATAATCTTGAATATGTCTTCTTTCTTCTGGATGAGCTTCTGACTCCTACCCTTTTTAGTCAACCCTATATGAAAGTGTCTTTAGAAAATGTCCAAGTCTATTTTACAAAACAAAAAACAAAAAACCATAGAGCACAATGAGAACTATATTGCAGAAAATGTGTACAAATATTTTAGAACTGCCTGCTAGAATCACAAGGAAATCTTTTAGTGTCTATAAGGGGAATAGGACTTTCTACTTGATGTGCTCTGAAAGAACATGTACAATAAAAATAAGAATAATCAATCGTGTATCTTTGTATTAAGATAGTATAATCTATTGATATGACTTTCCCTAATTTTTCTAAAATATTAAGAATATTGAACTAGATTAATACCCACAAGAAAATTTCATCCCATATAGAAAATGCATAGAAATGTTTTTATTATTGGCAACAGAACAATGGTGACAGAACAGTGTATTCACAGCTTAAAAGTTCTAAGGGATCAGGATAAATCTGCTTTGGTGGAAGTGTTTAAACTGTCTTTGTTGTCTTGTTTTGTTCCATTTTTTAAGGTTCTCTGGAAGAAGTGAGCTTTCTGACCACAGAAATTCACATAACTGGAAAATCACTGAAGAATCACAGGAAACATATAACTTCACACTCACAACTGAAAACAACCTAAGGAAAAGAAGTGTCAACATCATTTTTAACTTGACTCATAGAGGTGAGACAGCGATGCCACAGTCCATGATGGATATTAACATACCATTTTGTGCAATGAGATCCAATGAATGCACAGTAGATGTTGGCCTAGTGCACAATCCTAGTGAAGCTCATCTTCATTCATACTTCTATTTGCTCACACATACTCTCTTGAATGTGTACATTCACAAGCACTTGTTTTGATCATATCTCAAGTATCAATGAGTTTTCTAACAAATTTAAAACTAGCATTCTGATGTGTACTTATTGCACAGTCTATTCCAGAACCACTCTCTTTACTCTTCTTCCACCAAAATTGTCTAATGCTTGTGCGTAGGAATTTAGATTTGTGTTCTCATTTCCTATTTGTTCTAAAGATCTTGGAGGTTTTGGTCTTATTGAATATCAAGCCATCTATAGCTATCTAGTAGTTACTTCTTATATAATAGTAAGTTGCCATGATCTGCAAGAACTGGGGCACATTGCTGTGCTCTCTTTGCTGTGCTACTATGTAGCACTTCATGGAAATGTACACTATTTCATTCATCTCTTTCAATGACTTGCAAATTGTATCATGTTTTGCTTGGGGTACTGTTTTTATTACTATTAGAATTTTACATGTATCCATACACATGGACTTCTTTTTTAGTGTGTACCTAAGAATGAACAGGTAGAGACATAGTCTTCCTGAGTGCTTACTTCTCAAACCATGTTCCAAAGTTGCTTTCCTGGTTACACCCTCATTCTATGGACTTACTTATTCTCCCTAAGCTTGTTGGATCACTTTTTATTTTTGCCAATTGAACTGGGCATAAAATGGTATTTCTTGATGGTTACAAATTTAAATATCTCTTCTTATACTGGAAATATATCCATTTTCTCTTTTATGGTGTGCTTGATTCTGTTATTAATTCATTCCTTTATGAGTTGTTAAGTTTTTCCATTGGTGAGAGTTTTTCATATATTCTTAATGCAGACCCTTTGTTATTGGCTCCTATATTGACAATATCTTCACTTAGTTTGTAGTTCTTAATGCATGCCTATTGACAATAAACGATCTCAATTTTAACATAGAAAAGTGTAACAAAATTCTTTAAAGAATTCCTTTCTCATCTCAAGGTCAAAGTCAGAAATACAGTCATTTATAATCTTTTACTGAGTTTTAAAAGTGTTTTTAAATATAAATGTCTTATTTTGTATATCAAATAAAGTTGGGATGTAGCAATGAAGTTTTTGATTATAGAAGAACCACTTGTTCATTTCTATTTATTTAGTAGCTTTTATTTCCCAACTGATTTAACAGGCCAACTCTTCCTGTTATGAACTCTCATATTGGAGTCATAGACTCCTGGACAGTTTCTATCTTCCCACAATAATACCCCCCTCTAATTTTGTGGACTTCAATTGCAGTGGGTCTGGATGATGCTAAGTCTCTCGATGCCCTTTGCCAGGTAGGTTCCTGTCATTGCAGTTGTTATACTCTCTCTTGTACATAAACCCTGGGGCTCACTTGTCAAATTCCATGAAAACCTCTTCTGGCACTTTTTGATTTACATTAAATCTACAATTGTAACTTGGATAAATTAGTGTCTTTGTGATACTAAGCCTTCCAATGCATGGAACATGATGATTTTTATATTTGTTCATAATACTTTAAAGTTTTCACATTTAAAAATTTATAACCACTCCAGCAATTTCTCTGTAGACCAGACTGGCCTCAAACTCACAAAGATCTGCCTAACTCTGCCTTTGCTGGGATTAAAGGTATGAGCCATGACCACCCAGCTGACTCCAGAAATTTCTAAAAGATAATAAGTCTCTCTCATCTTATCTTACAATATTATATTTGTATTTATATTATTCCTTTAAGAAACATTGTTGGGTCTTTTAGCTTATGCAAAAATTTGTCTACACATGTTTGTTATTTGAAGTTCTCTCTCTAGGGTGTTCTTTAGAAATGGCTGATGGAACAGTAGTCCCATGCATCCTTGAATGTCAAAGTTGGACTCTTATCTTTGCATTTAAAAGTCAGGCTGACTGGGTTTAAAATTTAACACCGTCTCCCTTGTGTTTAATGAACTCCATTTCTGCACTTTCTAGTGACATAGAGAAGACGATAAATATCCAAAAGTACTGGCCATGTGGTTTTACCCATTATTAAACACTTGATCTTTTGGGCTAGCTACCATAGGATTTATTTCTTTAAATTCCAGCAATTGTACTGGAGTTTGTCTGTTTTAGGTTGATCCTTTTAGTGTCATGGAATGTCCTTTCAGTGTGTAATTCTGAATGTTTTAAAGAAAGATCTTTGAGTTACAGTTTTCCACATTTGCTCAAGAATCTGCCATATTGCCAATAGGGAAGATTAAAGGCTGAACCATACTCTTGTTAGCTCCCTTCTGAGGTGTTCTTCAGAAAGTCCAATTATCCAGATATTTCATCTTTACCATGCACCACTTTATCTTGAATTCTTCTTGCTTTGGAAGATCATTCCTTTCCCCTCCTAGTTCTTAAGAAGTCATTCCTCAGCATATCTCTTCTCACCTAAACCTTCCCCTGCATTATTTCCCCATTTCTTTTTCCCTTTATTAGTTCCAGTTTCTCTGCTGAGAACTGTTTTCCTTCCATGCATTTCATCTGTTTGACTTTGGCTCATGAACCTATTTCAAACACTTGTGTAGCAATTTTATCACATGGGTTATTGGAGCATCTGTTGAGGATCTTTTCCCTTGGTGACATTATTCTGGGATGTTTTGTATATTGGATTTTTAAGGGTTATTTCCTTTGACACTGTTAATATTATTTTAGTTAGACTCAGGTCACATTATAATGTTCCTCCACTAGCTGTTTTCTTTAAGTTTTGACTCTTGCTCCACAACCCGATTGATAATACTTAATTTTAAGAGTCTATGTGTAGTTACTTTTTGTATTTTACTTCCGTGTTTAAGCCAACATAATATATATAATGTAACTGGTGAGTGAGTAAGATTGTATACTGAACACAGTACATATTGTCAGCAAGTCCAGTGTTTGTGTCTTCTTAAACATAAACAAAAAGCACTGGTGAACAAACAAGTGGCAGAATGAATTGCTTCTACTGAGCTCTCTTTGTATCTGCTTGATTCTCTCCTCTGTTCCTTTTTCCTCTTATTGGCAGTTCATCTAAAGGCTCCCCATGATGTCACCCTGGAAACTGTAGATGCTAAAAAAGCCAACATGACCTGGAAGATGCACTCCCGTGGAGACAACTACATACTATTGTGTCAAGTTGAACTCCAGCATGAAACAGAAGTGATACATGTAAGAACATTTATTTGTCTCCTACTTTTACAAATTCTTGATATTCCTAAACCGAGAGATAGCCACATAAGCCTTTTTTTTTCCTTTTTTATTTAACCTCAGTGTCACACACCTATAATCCTAGTATTCAGGAGGCTAATTTTGGGAGATCACAAGTTTGAAGCTAGCTTTGGCTACATAATGAGACTCCATATATAAGAACAACCAAAATACAAACAAAAAAATGTCTTATTTCAGGACAAACATGCTGGGTAACACCTGAAACCTTAGCATTTGAGAGGCAGAGGCAGGAGGATTACTGTAAATTGGAGGCCAGCCTAACGTACATAGTGAGTCCCAATTTAACCAGGGCTACCTTACAAGACCTTACCAAAGCCAAACAGAACAATCTAAAAATAAGAAAAATCAATCAATCAGGCCTTTATTTCAACATTTGTTCACAGTATGGATTATCGTTTGAAAGGGGTCCTGACATTGATCTAAACATTTAGCGCTGAAAAGAAAATCTTAAGGAAAAAAATTTTCCCTCTGAAGAAGACTCAGCCTTCTAAATCAGAGATGGCCATGTTCTGATTCGGCTTTGCAGTCTTTGTTTTTCCTTCACCTTCTTGACTCAGGAGTGCAACGTTTCTGTCCACATGAGTGCGAGCTACCTCTTCAGTGATCTGGAGCCGGACACAGAGTACAAGGCTCGTGTGCGCTGTGCGGATGCCAACCATTTCTGGAAATGGAGTGACTGGGCTCAAAAGGCGTTCAGCACACCTGAGGCGGGTACGTGGGGCTCCCTGGCATTGAACTCACAGTCTAAGCCTCACGATACGCATGGGTCAACTTCCTTCAGAGCTCTGATTTGTGCCAAACACCAAGAGGAAAGTACTAAGGCAAAGGGAAGGGAGCATGGGCATTTGATAAGAGCTTTATTTCCAGTGTACGTTTTCTCAGGTAGTTTCTTTGCTACTCCTGGGTTCACTTTGGATTTGAGTGTGGATCTTTGACTCAGGACTGGGGACAAAAGAATGTATCAGTGTCTTGGAAATCACTGGCCTCACATCACACTGCATCAGACTGTCCTTGGGAATGCATGGTCTTTGGGACAGTCATCTTTACTAATAAGTGATTCATCCCAGTGCTAGTACTCTGGGTTCCCCTCTGATTGTCTTTGGTACTTAAGGTCTCTTCAGTTCTGAGTATTCTCCAAATAACTATGTCACAGGACTTAAGTGGGTATCGGGAGATGAAATGGCCTGGCCCAGCTCTCAGACCTTTCCAGTTCAAGATAATAAATCATGGCTGTCATCTGTTTTTTGGATAAGGCAACTTGTACCCGAGGATTGAAGGGACTTGGCTGTGTTTGTGGTGTTAATGAACAACAGACACACCATAAAGCAATGGGAGCAGCTAATCTGTGATTGCTTGTGATGCTTTGTACTCCTTGTTACAAAGCTTTGTAATAGACCATCAGGTGTTTCAGACAGGCAAAGAATCACAGCTTTACAGAGTTAAACAAATGCAGCATAAACAACAGTTACACTCCTTAAAATAATATTCTACCAAAGGAACTGTTCTAATTCTAATGTTCTATAGGAGACTACTAAGGCAGAGAGGTAGAGTGAGTGATTGCCCTGGGATTCACTCCCAAGTTGTTTTAAAGGGAGGTACCCAGAGTAGTCTTGAGTTAAAAGACTGGTTCAGCTTGCTAGGGTTGGGGGATGGTTCAGTAGTAGAATGTGTGCCTAGTATACTCAAGGACATGGGATCAATTCCTCACACTGGAAAAATACAGATAGATGATAGATAGATAGATAGATAGATAGATAGATAGATAGATAGATAGATACATACATACATACATACATACATACATAGATACATAGATAGATACATAGATAGATAGATACATAGATAGATACATACATAGATACATACATAGATACATAGATAGATACTTAGATGCATAGATAGATAAATGGGAAAAACGAGTCTTCCTAATATATCAATGGAGTGAACACAGATGCAGTGCAAATCAACTCTCAGTTTAAATAAATTTCTGAACCAAGTCCAGAGAGAAGAGACTACAACATTTAAGCAGGTTGTTTTCTGGGCCTTTACTTCCCTTTTTCAATCTCCAAACTGTTTCTGGAGCTTGCCCAGAGCATGGCTGCAGTAGTCCCATCTTTCAGTTTATTTGCATGGAGACTCTTGGAAGCAGTACATTGTGCATTGTGCCATGACTTGGGAACCAGGCAGCATGTCTCCTGTGTGTCCACAGGAGATAGTTGACAGGATCAGGAAGCAGAGGGAACAAAGAAGTATTTTCAGGTTATGACTCCAGAGAGGGGGCCAGCTGGAGGAAAACCTGAAAGCCAGTAAGAGCCCCTAGGCTTCCTGTTCCCAAAGGCCCAGGTTAGTGTTTCTCTATCTTACCCTTTCACATGGCAATGGGTTGCTGTCTAGAAAAAAAGAAAAGGAGTCGGGGAGGGGGGACTGACCTAACTCCTCTTAGAATTGTTCTGACAAATGAAAATTCTTTGATGACTTCCAGGTGCTCTGGGGCCAATTTATAAATTTCAAAGTTTGGTACTGTGTTCAAGGGCAGTTGATCTTTGATTTTAAAGAACCTACTATAAACTTCTATGGAAATGTTTTTAATGTAACATGGTATCGTGCACAATTAATATAGACTGAAATGTAGTGACATCTTGCCTGTGAACCTGTAACAGTAGCCGTGCCCTTAGGACATGGTTACAGGTGGGATGTGACGATTTTAAGGTAGAGGAGCTGGGGTTTGGGATCCCTTTGGGTCGCAGAAGAGCATCAGGAAGGCAAGGACTGCATCCTTTGTGCAGGAACACTGCGACAGTTACTTGCTGTTACCTGTGTAAGTTCTTTCCCGATACACACCTATCATTCATCTTGGTTCTGTAAACTCATTATAATGCCTTGCCTTCATTTGACACTCCAACAAGAGTGGGTGGATCCCCACGACTGACCCACACAGTTGGCTTGGTAGTCTAGCTGGCCAGAATTCCACGACCCAGGATCGACTGCGCACAACCTCACCACATTTTAGGGTCCCACAAAGGGACAATTCACACTTCTGTAGTCTGTGCCGCCCGAGTCTGCTATTACCCGAAGCCCGGCGTGCATTAAAGATCACTTGTGCTGAGGTTTAGTCTGACCAGTGTGGGGATTTTCGTGCCAGCTCAAGTAGGAAGTAGTGTGTTGTGATTTGCCTGCACAAGCACGTGGGAAGTAGGCACAGTTTTTCTATCTACTGCAGGTTTGCAAGACTGCACCCGGTCTCTATGCTCCGCCGACATTTCCGTGTGCTCTTTGCGTGACTGATTTAACTAAATCCTTAGAAGTCTATACTGCCTAGGAAATTCAAACACTCCGAGAAGCAATGGTGAATAGATTACAGGCCATAGTAAACCGTAAAACTGAGTCTAAGAGCTGAGGGACAAACGAAAGAGAATGAAAGGGATTTAACATCACCAGTACCTCCCAGAGTCAGATGACTTACCAAAGGTTGTAACATCACCACCTGCTGTGGTCTATCCTGTTACCATTACTGAAAAGCCAGCAATTAAGAAACATCCACAGGGATTCATGGAATGTCATTGGCAGCCAATACATATGAAAGACTTAAAAAGGTATTAAGGAAGCAGTAGTTTCTTATGACATGCATTCATCATATGTGAGGCAGTTAGTAGCGTCATGGGCTATAATTTAAAGAATAACCCTAAATGACTGGAGCCAATCAGTCTCGGCTGTCCTTGAGATCAGTCCCCAGATTCAGTGGCATTCATTATGGAGCGAAGAGGCCAAAGCACTTGAACATCAAGACCAAAAGAAAGGTTATAAGGATCCCCAAGATAAAATTATTGGTGAAGGTCTTTATGCTGATGCAGAGACTCAAGCTGCATATGATGAACATATCTTGTCCCTATGCCATACAGCAGCTTTGAATGCTTGGGATAAGATTCAAGAACCAGGTAAAAGAACTGAACCATATACTGAGGTCATACAAGGCCCAAAAGAACTTGTTAGTGAATTTGTGCAAAGGTTGACTAAAGCAGTACAACTAGGGGTACCAGATCCAGATGCTACACAAGTACTCATTGAATCTCTGGCTTTTGAAAATGCCAATTTAGAACACAAAAAGGTACTTGGGTCTTAGAGATCAGATCAGCACCAATGGATGAGTGGACCCTGCACACAACCAATATTGAGTCTTTTGGGTAAGAAAAGCAATCTCCAAAGGTATGAAAAGATATCAAAATATCAAGTGTTTTAATTGTGGTAGATTAGGAGGTCTGAGAAGAAATTGTAGACAAGGCATTCCTAGAAATAATGCTTCTTCTAGAAATAACTCAAACAGAAGGCCCCAACATTCTGGATTATGTAGAAGATGATGCAAAGCCCGACACTGGACCAATGAATGTAGATTGACCAGAGACAAGCAAGGAAACCCTTTACTATTGGGTAACTCCTTGGCGGGAGGAGGGGCTCTCAAAGGCTCCCATGTCGAATATGGTCCAGGCATTCCCAATCACTGGGGAGGATAATTCACCCCAGAACAATTAGAAACTCCAGTGCCTATTGTAAAAAATCATACTGCTCTGGGTGGTAGATTAACTTTGGATGATGAATAGAATATTCATGGAGAAAACAAAAAGCATATATTTTGGCAGACTTCTGTAAATGAACAAAGACCAAATTTAAGAGTACAGATAAATAACATTATGCTTGAAGGTTTGCTTGACACAAATCTTGGCATCCAAGTTGCCCTCTTCAGGAGGTAAACGTTCAATTCTTAGGAAGTGGAACCCTATCTCAGGTAAAACAAAGAATGAGATTGGTTGAATGTATAGGGCTAAAAGGACAAAGAGGAAGGCTGAGGCCATATGTGGATAATATAGCAATAAATCTATGGGGTAGTGATTGATTGCAGCAATGGAATGCTCAGATTAATATTCCTTCAGTAGCGGATATGAACCATAAACAAACTCATGTTTATGGAAAAAATATTGTAAGACAAGATATTAAACAGACACCACCAACAATCCAGGCTGTACAAAAACAGAATACAAGTGTCGAACTGGAACCAAAAGCCCTGCCCTTAAAGTGGCTAACTGATGAATCTGTCTGAGTGGGGCAATGGTCTATGACTTCTGAGAAACTAGAGGCTCTAGAAAAACTAGTTCAGGAATAGCTAGACATATTCAAGGATCTACTAGCCATTGGAATTCTCCAGTATTTGTTATTAAAAAGAAATGGAAAATGCTTACAAATTTGAGAGCCATCAATGAAGTAACTCAATGAATGGGCTGTCTACAGCCTGGAATGACCCTGTCTTTTCTGATACCTAAAGAATGGCCTATTATAGTTATTGATATAAAAGACTATTTCTTTACTATACATTTACAAGAAAAATATAGGGGAAAATTAGCCTTCATGGTGCCTTCCTACAATAATTCTCAGCTGGTCAAGATATGTCAATGTAAATTCCTATCACAGGGAATGGTTTTTTTGTTTGTTTGTTTTGTTTTGTTTTTACGAGACAGGGTTTCTTTGTATTGTTTTGGAGGCTTTCAGTCCAGCCTGGCCTCGAACTCACAGAGATCCGCCTGCCTCTGCCTCCCGAGTGCTGGGATTAAAGGCGTGCGCCACCACCGCCCGGCATCACAGGGAATGTTAAATAGTCTCACCCTGTGCCAATATTTTGGAAACATTTCATAAACAGTTTCCCCAATCTGTAATTTACCATT